CCAAAGTGATGCGATCCATGCCCTCAACTACACGGTGCCCTATCTCTCAGAGGGAAACCCAGAGGCTGTGCAGTCAGCTCTACTGCAACTCATTGCAAGGCTTTTTCCAAAAGTGTTTCATGGAGATAACACAGATCCTGTAAAGAAGGATATAAAGAAGTCCTCCTTTATCCATGAATCCAACAAAACTGCATTGGAAGAGCTGTATTTGCTCAGAAATTGGTTAAATGGAGAAATTCAGACAAAAATGGAGGAGGTTAAGAAGGAAGAAGACACTGTCGGGCATATACAGCCCCCCCTTCTGGGTCCCACCCCGGAGCCCCAACTATCGAGAGCAGTGGGAAGGGCTCCGACGCAGGAAGACAGCATGGCGGAGGCCCCGAGAGGAAGAAGGCTGCACACAGTGGACAGGGGACAGAGGGCGCCCACCCCTTCCTCCCTGCCGGCTCCCTGGCTGGGCAGGTCCCCCACCTCCAGAACCCAGCCTGTGGTGAGAAGCAGAGCGAAAGACTTCACCCACAGCATATGGTTTCTAAACCACGCGAAGGACAGAGCGCTAAGAATGAAGCCAACTCCACCTGCCCGGCAGTCACGAAAGAGTCATCGCTTGGCTGGGACTCTCTTCCCTGTGTCCCTCGGAACAGCAAAGAGGCCTGGGCTCCAGGCACTGAGGAGCCTCATGGACTCCCCTCCAGGAGGCTTCCCGTCAGCACCAGGGGACCTGCGTGTGTCTGCTGCAGACTCTGCCTCGGGCTCGGCCCCGACCCCCACACACATCACCTCCCCAGTGCTGCCGTCCCTGGTGGTCAGGTTAGAAACAGGGCTGAATCACTTGCTGCAGCCGCTCATCCCTGACGACAACGTGAGAGGGTTCATCACCGAGGTCATCAGCATTTTGGAAATGGACTGTGCTGAGCCCCCCGCGCCCCTCACCTGTGCCAAGCTCATCGCCAAGTCTCGCCGCCTGCTGATGCTTCTGACTGGGCAGCGGGAGGCCACGGTGTCCCAGGCCCAGGGGGAGCAGCAGCAGTTGCTGGAGGGGACAGAAGCCCATGGCAAGCAGAAGGGACAGCAGACGCCTCGGATGGTGAGGACAGCGAGCCCCCGTGTGTGTGCGTGCCCCGCCCCAGTGGGGAGACCAGGCCTCCCAGCCGCTGTCTGGTCCCCCATAGCCTTGGGGGAGACAGTGACCCCCGCTGCTCTGCTTAGAGAATAAGGAACTGACCCGGAGACAGAGTGCAGATCAGGTGCGGAAGAGCAGGACGCGCAGCCCCCGGCTGTGCTGTGGTTTCCAGACCCTGCGAGCCGCTCCCCTGAAGAGCCCGACCCTGGTGGTCAGCATTCACCCTTCCCGTCTCTGCTCTTTAACTCTCATTCTTTCTTGTTTTCTTTCTTCAGTTCAGAGAACATGTTCCTAAAGGAACATATATATACAAATACATCATCGGGACATTAGCAGCCCTGGTTATGATACTGATCACAGTCGTCATCGTCCTCTGCGTCAGGCAGGTAAGGACAGCTGATTCACGGTTGCTGCCCGCAGCCGGGCCTGGTAACAGGTTCCGAGTGGACCACCCGAACAGCCCCGCCAGTTGTGCCTCCCACCTGAGGTTCCGCCTCAGGCACTAAGACTGAGCTGTGCCCTGTTCCTGCACTGACAGGTGTACGTGAGGGATTTCTAAGTGAACTCCCCGAGATCTCTGAGGAACGTAAGCCAGGCTAACTCTCGCCTAGCCAAGCTTAGTGTGAGCTGACGTCTTCACAGCGTACTTGGGACCCGGTGTCTCACTGGTCACTCGGGGAGTGTTCTCGCTGGCCCCACACGGATCTCCCCATCTGTGTGAAGTTTCACCCGAGCTGCTGTGGGCTGCATTTTAATCC